TCGGGTTTTTTGAGGGGTAGGTTGAGGAGAACCTTATCAGGAAGAAAGATTTTTGGACCAGAGTCTAATGGTAGATAAAAGTCCACTGCTTAGAGGTGGCTTACTAGACTTCGGTTAAGAATTCTCAGGACACTCAAAGGAAATATGAGAACACTAGATGCTCCTTGTTCTTTTCTTTCCAAAACCCACACATAATACTAGAGGCACTACGTAGTAGCAGTGTGTTACTTTTTCTCATTCACTTAATTTGTAATGCCACAAGGAATAATGCTAAATGCTAAATTTACAAGATAAATAAAATAACCCTTGGCCTTCAGGATATTGCCATACAATAACTTTCCTTCTCATCTTATTCAAGTTCCTGTGTCAGCTGGTGCCTGACAAGCTCATATCCCCTTCTTAGGGGAACACTCCCCAAAGTCATCTTCTAAGGGAACAGTCCAAGGTGAACAAATTCTGGACCACATCAGCCTGCCACCCTCTCCCTCACCAAAGGCAAGTCTGACTTAATCAGAGATGGTAAGCACTTATGCTGGTCTGCAGACTGAGGTGGCCTGGCATGAAAAGCTTTGCCCAAGCAAAACCAAATGGGGACCAGAGTCACCCCATTAGGAATCTCACCTGGGCAATATAGAGAAGGCCAGGCAGTTAATATCAGAAAAGGACACTGACAATGGGACTAATCGGGATGATGCTCCATGAATTTCTGCTGCTGACCTAAGGGAGGCTCATGACAAAAATAATCAGGTTCTAGGACTATCTTGGGACGTCAAATGACCTTCTATATCAGCCTCCATGAGGCACAGCTTTACAAATGTCCCTGGAATTCCTGTGCGATTTCTAGCTCCCTGTTTCGACTCAGAGTTATCCTTTTTTAATCTAGGTCAGGTCAAACCACTACTCGCCTTAAAACTCTCTAACAGCTTCCCAGCTTTCTCCTAGTAAAAGCCAAAGTCCTTCCAATGGCTCCCAAGACTCTACATTCTCTGCCTCCAGCTACACTGGCCCCTTTGACATTCGTGAAACAAGGCAAGCATCTGCTCTTGCTGTTTCCTGATTCTAACAATGTCCCTCTTCCAGTGGACGACATAGCTCATTCCCACACTTCCTTCAGACCTCTGTCAAATATCAGTCGAGGCAGGGAGGCCTGCACTAACCATATGACATAAAATAGCAACTTCCCCTCCCCAGCACAAATCTCAACCTGACATATTATGTATATATTTTTTTAATTTATCTGACTTCTCTTACTAGAATATTAGCACCATATGGACAAGAATAATTATTTTTGTTACTTCTTTATGGGATATCCTTCTGCTATGTAAAAACACACCACAGCCCTGGCTGGTTTGGCTCAGGAGTTAAAGCGTGGGCCCACAGACCAAAGAGTCAGAGGTTCAATTTCAGCCAAGGGCACATACCTCAGTTATGGTTCAGGCCCTGGCCCTGGTGGGGTTGTGCGGGAGGCAACCAGTCGATGTGTGTCTCTCTCTCCTAATCTACCTGAAGATAAATGGAAAAATATCCTAAGGTGAGGATTTAGAATAACAAAACAAAAAACACGTAACATTAGGTGCTATTCATTGAACTACTCCAACTTTAGGTATTACCAAAGAAAATAAATTCTTAACAGTATAATAGTTTTAAAAAAAGAGAAAATGTTTTCTTAATTTTTCATGCAGTAATAACTTGAAATAAATATTATATGGATGGCATTTGAATTATTACAGGTATCATCCATAGTGGATGGGGCAAAAAAGCCCCAAATTTCACTATACAGAGCCGTGTGGTCATCAGAAAAAGAGACTTTTCAATGCAATGATATATATTCTTAAGATAATATACTTCAAAAAATGAATGCATTGGTTTATAGAACATAGAGACTGTCAGATAATTTTTAATCAGTGAAAAGACAGGCTCAAGAGGTATCCTAGCATCATTAAAATTAATCTGGGTTACATGGCTAAATTTGCTACAACAACAATATAAAGTTTTGTTTATTAAACTGGTAAATGAGTTCACACCTAGTTTTATATTCTTCATACTTTTTGCTGGAAGATTTCATAATGGGTATTTTTTTTTTTATTGAAGTCAGGTACATTTTAGTGAAAGAAATACTGTCAAAATATGTAGTATGGGCCATGAGTAAAAGGAGGATATTTTGAAAGGTGTTCCTTATTGTGAGGTAGTATAGAAAAGAGGTTAAGGGCCCAGACTCTGAAGACACACTGAGTTGCAATCTTAGCTCTGACATTTACTAGCCATGTAACATTAAAATGGAGAAAATTATCTAACCTTTCTGAACCTCAATTTTCTCATCTATAACATAAGAACAATACTAATACTACCAATAATAAAGACAACCTGGTTGGGTGTGTATATTTTAAGTTCTTAGGACATTTCCTGGGGGGCAGTAAATGTTCTACAGTGTTCCTTGTTATTATTTTTGTAATGTTTTTAAAGATGTCTTTAGGATATCCAGGAAAGCATTTCATCAGAGTTTGAATTTTAAGGGAGGTCTGAGCTGGGAATATAAATCTAGGCATCAATAAGAGGGATGGACACACACACACACAAACACTTAAAACAGTGCCTAGAAGATAAGTACTATGTAAATGTTAAAATGTTAATTATTATTTTAATATTATCCAATTATTGTTATTTCAATAACCGTTTTAGAAACCAATTGAAGTTAAGCGTATTAAAATTAAAGTTAACACTTAAATGCATATAGTAGGTGCTCACTAAAGGTTTAATGAATGGAAATAATTATTGGTGGTTACCTTTTCTGATACATCATAATAAAAAGTAGACTGAAATTTTTTTTTAAATTTGTTTCTCAGATTACACTCAAAATCTAAATCTAAATTTATCAGGTAAATGTAATAAAACAATTACTAACACTTATGACAACAGAAATATTAGCTTTGAGTTGAAAACATTTTCAAATTTATTTATTCAGCTAATTTAGAATTAACCTCAATATAAATGCATATATTTCATATGCCTATCAGCCATAGGAAAACAACCCCAAGTAGACTATAATCATCAATTGTTCTTCAGATTCCTTAGGCTTAAATGTCCCTGTTGAAAATAGTTGATAGTATTTCCCCAGCATTTGTATCTTATCTTCAAAGGTGGGCTCATATACAGAGCAGGTCTGGAGAGGAAGGAAAGCATAGGCCAAGTCATTCACCATCTAAACAAAATTTAAAGAAAAGTATACACGCCAGGTGGATGGTTTAAAATGAATTTTTTAAAATCTTCTATCCCTAACATGCACCAAATGTGCATATATAAGATATTCTAGCAATTATATTCTGCCTAAAAACGTGTTGATTTCAACTCACATTATAGTTAGCCCTACTTACTATTTTCCACTGCAGTCCCTTACCTGCAGCAGAACCCCACTAAGGCACATGATTCCATTCGGAAGAATGGGGGGCGGGGGGTGGTACTGGGATAATGAACAAACCTAATATCTCCAAAGAACACAGATGGCCAGTTCCCCTCAGAGGATGGGGAGGAAGAGGGGGTGGTCCTAGGCCTTAAATTCAGGTGTACATAGCGCAACATCAGTTTCCAGGCACAGAGGCAGCCCCAAAAACCTTTTGTTGGTTGCCATTTCCTAGTTCCAGATGAATATTTCTAGAGTAGGAGAAAAAAGTGGCTACCCATTCATTCAATGGCCAGTTGAATAAACTTGGACCATTATGAGAGTGACTATAAAATCATAAAAATATCAGATTTTAATCTCGGGGTTCCAGCATTTTCTTAAGTGATATCACAAAAGAACATTATGTCTCCTAGACTATTTCTTTCGGCACTCAGATTCTGGGGAAGAAATATGCCCCTTATTGCCTCTCTCCCAGTATGATTTTCCCCAAGGCAGGCAAGCTTTATCAACAGAGTATAAAAGCAGGTTTATAGTATGTTAACCATTGGTGGTTTTTCAAAAGGGTGTCATTTATGAATTCTTTGCTTTTCAGGGGAAGAAAAGTGAAGTTTATGCCTCAGAATGCTGAAGTGAGAATTGGTGATGTTATGTAAAGGCTGACAAGGAGAGGCCATATTCTGATAATTTTCCTGACAGTATGGATTACTGGCAATGGCACATTTAAGGGATTTTTCTCTATGTTGCACCTTCTTTTGTAATCCAAATAAGACAAATGATGTTTTATTCTTCTACCTGTCTGAATGACTATATACTTTTAATATTTTTTTCTCTCATGTAATAAAATTAGCAACTTGGAAGATACCATTTTTAGTATAAGTATTATTCAGGGCTTACTTCTTTCAATTTTTTTAAAGTCCCACATAGTCAAATGTATTATTAAAACAAGGATATAACATGTTATTGGTATTATATAGAGATGAGAAAAATTATTCTGGATAATGAAAATTATTATTCCTCAAAAATAGAACAAAAGGTTTTTTCAAGCATATTTAGAAAAAAACACACAATAAAGATTTTACAGAAGCATTTTAATAAAAACATTCAAATAAATTTCAGTTAAACTTACTAAGCTTAATAGTTCTATAATTCCATTTTCTTTGTTTGCCTAACCTATAAGAATAAAACCTTGTTATGTATAACACAGAGCATTTAGGACTATTTAGAACATCAAAATTACAGAAAGTCAGGCATCAATGTACCGTATAACTACAACAGATTGTAATTTAATCCAAATATCACCACATCTTATTTGAAATATCCATTAAATGATCACTTTTTAAAAAATAAGCACTGAAAGATGATCCTGTTATTTAAACACAGTATAATCTTATTTTTAAAAAATAAACCTATGGTAATAAATGTAAATCATTCAATAAACACTTGAACTGAGCACTTGAATTCACAGATTGTTATCTTCAGCACATTTGAATTAATCGATTACTATATTTAGCAAGCAATAACAATGACTATAATAAGCTGGATTCAAACATGGAAAATAAGTCTAATGTAAAAACAACAGAATTTTATTTATTTTTTTGTTCTCTCAGCTGGCTCCATGACTGCATCTATTGTCTCCTAATACACTGCTATTTCAAAAAGAAGCTCCCATGCCACTAAACAATAATTTTCAATTTTTTCCATACCTTTCCCCCCTCAAATGCATTCAGTTGCGTTTTCATTTGCTTGCTGGTAAATCCTACAAAAGTCCAATCAATTTATCCATCGCGATCTCCCTCTGAGCTTTAAATATAGTAAGAAAAACAGTGAAGTTCAAAGCAGTTGGAAGAGCAGTGAGGTTCCAAAGGGATGCCAGTTAAGATTTTTGTTGAAAAAGTAACCTACTTCCTAAAAGTCAACAAGTCAAACTCAATCCCATCTGGCGACGGGGGTCTTCGGAAAACGAAAAATTTTGCCGCTTCAATCAGCAGATTTAAAATGCTCTCCATCCACAGTGGGGTAGATGTGGCCCTCGACCATCAGATATTCTAGGACTTCCTTGATGGCCTTGATGCTCAGGCTGCCAAGCTCCATCTGGAGCTCTCGAATGCTCTTGCCTTCCTGTCGAGGACACTCGTGAATCAAACGCAGGGCTTTCTCCTGGATAAACTTGGGGTGGGCCTCGCCATACCCTGTGGCCTGATCCACCTCGGATGGGGCAGCAGGTGCACTCGGCCCACAGGCCGCTTCCTGGGCTTTAGCCAGCATCATGTGCGCATTGACCGTTTCCAGAATATGGGAGGTGAACTCGTTCATGTCTTCCAGGACGCGGATCTGCAATACCTCAAGGATCTTCACCGCCTCAGAACCTCTGAGGACACCGAACACTTTGGCATACACTCCCACGGGACACGGACTCAGCTCCTGCTTCGCTCTGCCTCTGCCGAGCCAGTGGCGGGCGTCGATAGGCTTGGTGGTCATATCGTCAATCTTGTACAGAATGTAGTTCGGCGCGCTCTCGGCCTTCCTAATGAGGCCCACGATCGAGACCTGGGAAACCGCTATTCCCCTAACCTTGAAAACATCGTCGACCAGAGCGGCCGTGAGCAGCTGGTTCACACAGCAAGGTATAACGCTCTGGATTCGAGGCCTGGCTCTCGGCGCCCTCAGAACAGGAGCTGCGGCCCCCTGAGGGGGTCCATCATCGCTGCCACTGGCTCCACCCGCGGCAGAGCTGCCGCTACGGCTCCCAACCCCATCCTTACTCATCTCAACGACAGCACACGGGGAGTGGGCCTGGGCTCTGGTCCGCGAGTTCCTCGAGCGAGCGCCTGCCTCTACCGAGCACCTCCACCAAATGCGGCTTCTGCACACGGACGCCCCCCCACGTTCCCCACGGAGCCAATCAGCGGCCAGAACGCAGCGGCCTCTAGCCAGTCAGGGCCTGCCAGCTTTTCGCCCGATCCCATCATCCTTTGAAAGCGGGCTACATTTTAAAAGTCCCGCGTATAATTTCGGGCCTTGCCGGCCGTCAATTAAAAAAGCATTTTTGCTCGCTTCCCCCGACCCCCTTCATTCCGAAATCTCACAACTTCTACCACAGTCACTCCTTACAGAGCAATTCACGCCCTCACGGCGCAGTGACCACTCCACAGAAACTTCCAGACACGTGAGCGCACTGCGGCGGAGCGCTGCGGTTCCGTGAGGGGACGCGGACTTGAGGGAGGCGGGGCGGGATCAGGGGACAGCCACCACCATGGTCACTGCCCTACAAGGACTCAATTCTTTGTTCAAATCTCTTCAACCATAAGCATACTTCTACTGTCGCTTCTTAAAGAGTCATTTCTTCAGTCACTCAGTCAGTTAATCCTTCAAAGGAAACGTCGGAACCCACTGGTGCAGTGTGGCGGGCGCTGTAGGTTACATGGGGAAGGAGGCGGCAGGGGCCGAGGGGGGCGAGGGGAGCGAGGGGCTGAGGGGGGCGAGGGGCATGAGGGGGGGCGAGGGGCTGAGGGGGGCCTAGGGGAGGAGGGGGGCCTAGGGGTGGGGGGGCCTAGGGGCGGGGGGGGCGAGGGGCGGGGGGGGCGGGGGGCGTAGGGGCGGGGGGGGGCTAGGGGCGGGGGGGCTAGGTGTATGTGGGGGGCTAGGGGCTGAGGGGGGCGTAGGGGCTGAGGGGGCCTGGGGGCTGAGGGGGGCTAGGGGCATGAGGGGGGCTAGGTGTATGTGGGGGGCTAGGGGCTGAGGGGGGCTAGGGGCTGAGGGGGGCATAGGGGCTGAGGGGGGCTAGGGGCTGAGGGGGCGTAGGGGCTGAGGGGGCCTGGGGGCTGAGGGGGGCTAGGGGCATGAGGGGGGCTAGGTGTATGTGGGGGGCTAGGGGCTGAGGGGGGCTAGGGGCTGAGGGGGGCATAGGGGCTGAGGGGGGCTAGGGGCTGAGGGGGCGTAGGGGCTGAGGGGGCATAGGGGCTGAGGGGGCATAGGGGCTGAGGGGGGCTAGGGGTATGTGGGGGGCTAGAGGCATGAGGGGGCCTGGGGGCTGAGGGGGCCTGGGGGCTGAAAGGGGCTGGGGGCAGAGGGGCAACTAGGAGCACCGGGTGGGGAACGGCGGGGTGACCGGGATGTCGCGGTGTGCAGGGGATCCCTACCATGGTCACTGTTCTCAAAGAACTCACATCCTGTTCAAATCATTACAACCAGGGGCATTCTGGAAGACACTGCAAGATAGCCACCTTTGAATGATTATACTGAAATGTAAGTTACATCCTATCACTTTCTTTTTAAATGTTGTATTGTAGAATTATAGTTTTCCAGTTTTTCCAGCAAATGCATTCTACATAGAAATAAATCTAGTTGAGCCCCGCCGGTGTGGCTCAGTGGTTGAGCGTTGCCCCAGGCACCAAGAGGTCACTGGTCTGATTCCCAGTCAGGGCACATGCCCAGGTTGTGGGCCCGATCCCCAGTGGGGGGCGTGCAGGAGGCGGCCAGTCGATGTTCTCTCTCATCAATGTTTCTCTCTCTCTCCCTCTCCCTTCCTCTCTCTAAAATCAATAAAGAAAATAAATAACTAAAGTTGACCCTGGAACAATGCAGGTTCACATATACCCGTGCAGTTCAAACCTGCCCTGTTCCAGGGTCACCTGGCACTGGGAATCCATGTTATGCAGAGGGCTAACTTCAATTATAAGCCAATTTTCAAGTAGACTAGTGGTGGGCACCCCTACCCCCCATGTTGTTCAAATGTCAACTGTAGTATATTTCAATATACACATAAATCCGAACAGAACGACTAAGCTCTAAATGACTTTCAAGGCTCTATGGCTAGGTCAGAGAAGTACAAAATGTGACCGCCTTATATATTAAGAAAAACATGAATAAAATAAAAATACAATTTCTATATACTCTTATGCATTCATTTCTGAACTTCAGAGTCTGTCTAGTGATTGTGTAAGGAGATCCCAAAATATTTTCTATTACACTGAAAATCTATTTTCCTTATAAAAATATTTTCATTTTGTTGTAATTAATTTAAAGACATTTTATGGTTAATATATGTACATTAGTTACTGGAATACACCATTGGCAAGAAACTTGATTAAATATCCTTTTTAACAATTTTAAAGAGTTTATTAATACTTACGTATTTCTTTTATTGGTTAAAATAATTAAATTTTGCTATCTCAAATTACAGAAATGTGTGAGTAGTATATCTAAAACTTGTAGAATGTAAAATTTTATTTACTTCTCAAATTAAAAAAGGAATAATATCATAGAGCCAATATACTGAATTTGTTTTACAAATAAATATATAATAATAATTAGTACACAGATTTCCATATAAATGTGCATATTTAACTTCTGGATCTATGATTATATAATCAAAGAGGAATTAAACATCCAAGTAATACTTGTATTCTTAAAATTGTACATTATTAGAGATTAGATTAACTACATTTTTTAAATGCTTGCAACCTCATAATCAGACATTGCTGTTTAATTAGCTAACATCAGATTTCTGGTCAGAAAACCTTGAGGTTCATAAGATGTGACTGATTATATTCCCAACAATTATATACAGTACAAATTATATGACTCATACCAAAACAAATAAGAACCACCTACCTGACAGGATTGCTGGTTAAAGAAACCCTCAGAGATTCTAGGCAGTTAAGAAGTTTCTCATCTGAAATACCAGATCGTAATTCATGAACATATTCTTGCGAAGACAGGGTGCATTCATGTTTGCTGTTTTTCAGCCCTCCCTATGGGGGGAAGAAAAGATATCATTTAAGATAAACAACAGGTATTTTGTAAATCTTTTAAAATAAAATAATACACAGGATATGTTAGGAGTGTACTGTATAAAAATGTGTGCAGAGTGCTAGGCACTTAAAAATTCATGGTCATAGAATTGATGTGGTAAAATCATGTTGTGTATATCTCAACACTCTCCTCAGCCTCATTTAAAAGAAAATTACACTGCTGGTGATCATGACCTGAATAGAATATGGACTTGAGTAGCATAAAGTATCTCCGACAGGAATGCTTAAATTTATAATCCAGGCATTAGGATTAACATTAGCTGGTCCTTAACCCACAGGATGAACATTTAGCAATCATTAATTTTCCTAAGATATTTACATTCTATTTCACAAAATACAGTGAATGAAATTTAATATAAGACATTATACATTACCCACATTTACTGAAATACCAGAGTATCAGTCTATCTCAACAAACAAGTGAAAATGGTTATTAAAATGTAAAACAATAGTCTCCAATTAGAACGTTAATCAAATTAGTCTAAAACATTAATCAATTCCCAACTATTTTTTTCTAACTTTGTTACTCTCGTGTTGTAGATGAATCTTTAAAAAGTTATTAAATGCATTTATCTGATAGTGACTAGTCTTTAGCTTAATTTCCAATATAAGTGTCGTTATTTTATTTCTAGAACTCATTATCATATCACAGCTCTTTAGCTTTATCACCTTGCCATAACTCTGTGAGTAGTTTGGGGAAAAGGCTGGGAGGAAAATATCATCAACACACTCATTGTACTAATAACTCATAGTTTTACTTTCTAGACACACATAATCATAACTGCCTCTTTCCTATATTACAAGCATAGCCCTCTGAATGAAAACTCTAGTTTTATTCCTATTTTCTAAGTTCATACAAATTACACTGCGTTCTGCTAAGTATCTAAACTACAATAAGGAAAGCAAATTTTTTTCTCATTTGGTAGAAGTCATATCATTAGAGAATTTTAAAAACAACAACGTGTTAATAGTGAGAAATGCGCCCTGGCTGGTTTGGCTCAGTGGTTAGAGCCTCGGCCCGCGGATCAGAGAGTCCCGGGTTCAGTTCCCGCTAAGGGCACATACCTTGGTTGCAGTTTGTCCCCGACCCCGGTTGGGGTCGTGTGGGTGGCAACCACTTGATGTGCCTCTTACACATCAGTGTTTCTCTGTCTTTTCCTCCCTCTCTCCCTCCTGCTCTATCTGAAGATAAATGCAAAAATATCCTCGGGTGAGGATAAAAAACAAACAAACAAACAAAATAATGAGAAATGGATTCCCTAGGGTTTCATATTATTGCCTTTTTATTGAGAATACTTTCTCAATATAGAAATTGTCAATCATGCCTAATGTCTGAATTTTTAAAAATTCCATGAAATAGTAAACATTTCAAGGCTGACAAAGTCTTATGTATGGAAACTCTATTCCCTTCTAGCACTATGGCACTGTCGCTCCTATAGCACTTAAGACATTGGGGCAGAGGTCATTATCTGTGTCTGTCTCTCTTCTAAACTGAGAAGTCCATGTATGTCAAGCACCTAACACAGTGACTGAATTTCGTTGAACATCAATGAAAATGTGCTGTTACTGAGCATGTCCATAACAATTACAGAAGAACAAAATTTCATCCTTCAAGCACCCATATTTTGTGTATTGCCACTGAACTGCTTTTTCTTGCTTTGTTAGGATACACAGATGTTCAAGAAGTCTACTAGATAAATCACCACATACATGGCACAGTAAGTAAAACCATCACCATGAAATCACTTCCACATTTCAGTAATTATTTATCCACCTCTTATGGCTACCAATCCACAAGGAATTCTGCAGGTAAACATTTATAGCATAAAACTGTACAAGTTTACTGCCACATACCCCCTTTCATATGATCCTCAAACTTTTTTCTTAATTAATGGATAAGAAGGCTCTACTGATCCCCTGGAGGCTTTTATATAAAGCTTATTCCTGTAGAATAACCTTAGTGTTTGCTGTTTTCTCTGCCTGAAAGACTCTGACCCCGACTGCTCCATTGCTGGCTCTCATCATTTAAGTTTCAGCCCAAGACCAATTATCATCACAACACCATTGTATTAGCTTTATATAAGTTTATCTTGTGTAGCACTTTCTTTGTTTATGGTGTCTTCTTCAATAAAACATAAGCTCTATGAGGCAGATTATCTTGCCTACCTTTTTCATCACTGTATCTCCAGACTGGCTTGGCATATAGTAGTTACTCAATACATATTTTTTGAATAAATGGATGAATGGATGTATGGATGGAAGGAGAATAAACAAATGAATGAGTGACTGATGAGTTTCAATACATGGAAGTTTCCAAACTCAGTTTAGTTTTGTTTCAGAATATTACAGTTCTGAGCAGTTCCAATACAATATATTCAGAGATGCTAGTACAGAACAGGTAAATTGAGATAGTGTATGATGGCATGCTGGGGACCACTCAAACTGCCACTGGGTTAGAATCATGGCCCCCTCACTTACCTTCCAGGTAATCTTTGAGCAGGCTATTGAACTAATCTCTTTAAACCTGTTTGCTCACCTATGCTACAATCCCCTCATGTTTGTTATGAGGATTAAGTACGACAACACATATAAGGTGCCTAAAACAGGCATTTCGTATGTGTTGTCTTACAGAGTAAGCTGCTCAGATGTTAGTTCCCTGTTTCCATATGGCTGTGGCTGAGATGCTAGTTATGGAACAACTGGGCCAGCCCATCACATCGGGATTTACCCCTCCATCAAGTTTTAGAAACACATTTGAATTATGTCGTTTAGGATAATCTGTGATTATAAGGAGTGGGACAAATGATCTAATGGAGCAAGAAAAAAAATATATAGCCTTATAGAACAAATGCATTTTATCAAGCTCTGAAGAACTTAGGGGTTGTAACATAAGTTCATATTTGATAATTATGAAAACATGATAGCATGTAAAGACTGGACTGGCCCTTAAACATCAGCTATTCGAATAATAATATTCTAATATTACCTCATTACAGAAAAAGAGAATCACGGTGATTTCCCAAGTTCACATCATTAGTAAGGTTGCGAGAATAAAACACTAATATTCTGATCCTCGAGTTACTTCTTTTCCTAGTATATGTATCACTTTTCCCCAATATTGAATTTAAAAATTAAAGCAACAAGTATTTAATTCTGAAATCTCTATTACAAAATGTCAAAGAATCTTCAGCATAATCAATATAGTGCAACTAATATTAAAGAAATCATCTAAAAAAACAGTTCACTAGATTAAACTAATTCTCACTATATTTAATAGGGCTGTAATACAAGAATGGCTTATTATTAACACCATGTTCTGATACTGAACAAAGGAAACAACTAGATAATGGATGGATAATAATGGAAATTTTAATTAGCTGCTCTGTATGAGATTAATGAAAATTACCACTGTGCCCATTTGATCTTTAAAAAATAATGCAGACAAAGTTAGCAATTAGCATACATCAAGCTACTCCAAAGCTAGGTGAACAAAAAGCTTTCCTAATTTGAAACCATTCCTTAATTTGAAAATCATTAGGATGGAGACACTTGTCAATGTGACTGTGCTTGTATTATTCTAAGACACTACACAAAAAAACAAAAAGTATTTTGGTCAGTATAATAATATTTTCCTAACATGATATGAAATGTTAGCATCAAAACCAGACAAGCAATATTTTAAAAGGAACACTTTAAGTCTGCAGTGGAGATACCACTTGTGATTTTAGGTTGACTCTGAGCATGATCTGTCACTCTTTAATGTAAATATATATTTACTTATAATTTGAAGAAAGGCTTCATAATGCTAAGCTATAAAGGTAACTTACTGCAGACATGAGGAATAACTATTTGCACACGGGTCTTTTCAACTATAACCTGTACACAAATAGCAATTACTATCAGTGGTGTCATCTTCAAAGAGAAAGGACAATATTACTGTCATAAAAACAGTAATATTGTTACTCTTCTTGACCATGATTTATAAACTCTAATGTAGTCAGATTAATTTGGCTACTTTAATGTGAGTTTATCTATCATTGCATTTCCCTGAAAAAGCAATGTCAGAGATTAACAAATTTGGAATGATATCTACAAAGGTCACAGTATTGTTCTTTGAGAGGCTCCAAAAACTTTTAAAGCATAGGAAATTAAAATGCTATTTTCCTCATCATCAGTTCCTTGGGTTCCAGTAGGAAAAGGAAACACAAACAAGTTCCTGATCCAAGTCAAACTACCTATTTATTCTATTAGCAGTGCATTTGGTGGGCTATACAACTCTGAATGCTAAACTCTAAATGATTTCTCTCCAGTTATATAAGAAAAACATAAAGGGAGATGATTAGAGTTAATCATTTATCCAGAAAATACAAAATGTATTTTAAAATAAATATATTACAACATTTCAAATTATTTTGTATGCCATTTACAGTGAAAATTCTTTAAACTATATGAAAAATATCGTACATTATAAATTCACGGTCTTTAAAATAAAAGCCTACACAGAAAATTACTATCATGAGACAACTTCAGATAGTGTCATTTCCTATTGCAGAATGCAATGTTTTAAATTAAGACCTTTTCAGAGGCTGAAAGTAATATGCAAAATCAGAGAACATATGCTAAATTATCGGACAGAAAAGAAAATTCACAGCAATGTAGATGTATTATAATTCTCCAAGTTATACATACCATTTGTCCCAAAGGATTTGACTAAGTTTATTTAAATGTGATTAGCTAAAATATTTTTTTAAGTATAAGATTCTCCAAGAGAAATCATTTATTGTTTACTTATTGAAACTTCTAAATATTAAAACCCAGATTAAGCATTTCATCCCCAAATTACAGACTCTAAAACCATCACAGAAAGAATATTTAAATTATTCTTTCAGCACATGTACTGTTAGAAATATCAAGCGCACAAAGAAACTCTAAACATATAT